CAGGAGCAGTGGAAGGCTCTTCTCTCTTCTTCGCCGTGACCTCTATCTCGGCAGGGGTACGGGTGGTAGTTCCTCTCTGTGCTTGTGTCTGCGCGGCTGCAAAAGAGTCTGCCATTAATTTCGAAACTGAGGGGGTGTTTGTCTGAGTAGTTGCATCCATTGGAGCCTTGCTTTTATGTTGGTCCCTAACCAATGGTTCAACAGCAAGCCCAATTTTGGCTGTCAAAGGTTAAACAAGTTAGTGTTGTAGAGAAAAAAAATAAAATTTGCTTGACACAGTCAGGGACATGAAGTATATGAAGGAAGAATACCTGCAGCCTTAAGCTTGGAAGGCGAGGATATGGGGCCCTGATTATGAATACAAGTGTCGTGAAGGCAGGTTTCAAGTGGCTTGTAGAAAATAATGGCAGACATAAGTCCCCACCAATGGTCAAAAGCAGTCGAGCAGTCCGTAGCACGTTTGAAGAAGAAGGGGCCAAAATCTTGGAAAAGTTTGGTGTTCTCTGTCAAAATGGATTCAGCTTGCGTAGGATCTTTGAAGAAGATTCTAGAGCCAATCTCCTCATGGATAGTTGGGTGGAAATAAGGATAATAATACCTTGGGAAAGACCTAATTGCCTGGACCATTGATTGGGACAGTATGTCTCAAAATTGCAGTTGGACATCTTGGCGGAGGATATGGAACAGCCAACCAACACATGTATAGAGGTGAGAATGTGTCTCCAAGTCTCATTTTGTTCTTGGACTTGCTCATTGTGTAAATCAGAAGGGTCTACGAAGAGGAAGCGAAGTCTGCTGGAGGAGAATTCAAAGTTTTGAAATGGCATGTACAGGTTGGAAGGTCTCTTCGAAGGAAGGTTGTAAAACATGGTAAGCTGATTTCTGAAAGTGAGGAAGGGTTGGCTGTTATAAGTGAGCAGTTGCTCAGCATAGGAGTAGAAAACAAGTTTCAAGGTGTTAGCTGGTGGGGGTCGTGCCTCAGGGAAATAGGCATACAACCAGGCCTGGAAGAGCCAGAAGAGGCCACCACAGTTGCCAGAAATCTTCTTGTGGACAAAGGAAAATAGGGCCTTGTAAAGGGTGGCAAGAAGATAAGGGGCTAAAGCCATAAGTTGGCCATCTTGCATACACAAGGTAGGGGGGAGGTACTCTTTCGTGATCTTGTACCCAGGGACACAAAAAATAAACTCACAAAGCCAAAGTAAGTAAAAAACAGTTCTTTCTTTGTCGTGGAGAGGGGAACCAGGCTTGCCTTTGTATTTTTGGGCGAAATCTGTATAGCACATGTCAGTGTTTAAAGTAAAGCTCACTTTTGGAGGCTCAAGGAGAGCATGAATTGGATTGCCCAAGATTGGGAGACCAATCAAGTAAGCTACATCTAAGATGGTAGGGGAAATCATACCAAAATTGAAGAGTAGGGAGTTACAAGATTGCCACCAAAAGCATACAGCAGCAGCAATCAGCCCTTTGTCCATGTCATAATTTTTAGTCGACAGTCTAATTGTTTCACTAATGCCCTAGTGCTTCCATACTTCACCGTCGTGACCTTCAATTCTCCTGGCCCAGCTTCGCCAAACAGAGTCTGGTGACCTCCACGATCTGAGTGGGTTTTTGCTGACATTCCAATTAGTCCACTTAAGTCCAGGTTGGTTGAGAAGAAGGTTCTCACCATTACCAAGGGAATAGTATGGAGCTAGCTTGTCTGGGAAATAAGACGCGAAGGTAGGGCCTAGAGTAGCCTTAACGACAGAGCTTGTGCTAGGCAATAGGGTTGCACCAAATTTTAGAGGACCCATACGTGCTCTTATAGGGTCTGGAAAGCGGAGTAGGTCTTCATTGTTCTCCTCAGATGGTGATGGTTGAGATTTTTTCGGCGCCATGGCTTAGGGTTTTGTGGTGCTTGGGTTTTGAACGGCAATGCTTGAGAAGAAGGAGTACAGTCTGGGGAGTTCGAATCAGAGGGAAATGAAGTGGTTTGAAGTTGAAAGGGTGGGTCTTTTATATCTTATGATGGGGCCCGTACTAATAAATTTGCTATTGGGCCCAAACAATAGCCCCCTTGTTGAAGTTAAATATCATATGACTTGGACCCCCACAAGGTGGCACCCCCATGACCCCTCTCTCTCTGATTGGCCAGTTTTTTTAAAAAAAAAATTATTCTTTTTTTTTTCTTTCTCCTCCAATCACCAGCCCCCACGTGTGTGTGGGGGGGGAGGGGGGTGCAGGTGGTGATTGGAGGGGTCCCAATCACTTCTACAAGGTTAATTCATATGATGTTTAACTTGAACAAGGGGGCCATTCTTTGTACCAAGTTTTGCCAGTCTCTATCGACAGATGGTCCACTTAATCGAGGACACGTGGCCAAGTCTGAAGGAATGTCCACCACTTCAAAGTGGGCTCTCTGCATGTGGGTCACCTAGAAGTGATGGGAGAAGTTTTTAGCACCAGTCATGGAGTTAATGGGCACACTTTCAGGAGGAAGCATGAGACAAAGCAGGAGCCTTACTCTGTCGACAGAAGTTTAAAATAGCTTCTGGCCATGAAATAAACACAAGAAAAAGGAGATCGACAGATAGAAGTGGAGGTTTAGTATACTTGGAAAGCTTAGAAGGGAGATCGTTGGTTTCGATAGCCGTATACTGTTTTTGTGGCCCATCATTGCATGATCCCACACGTCTACACCATAACTGCCACTGTAACTGCCCCTGACTTCGAATCTTCAAGTCCCCTCTACCAAATATTGACTTTTCCCGGTCGACCTTCCTTTTCACCATTGTAGGGGCATGTCCCTCATCATTATGAGTTAGTGGGCACACATTCAGGAGGAAGCATGAGACAAAGCAGGAGCCTTGCTCTGTCGATAGAAGTTTCAAACAGTTGGTGGCCATGAAATAAACACAAGAAAAGGGAGATCGACAGATAGAAGTGGAGGTTTAGTATACTTGGAAAGCCTAGAAGGGAGATCGTTTGTTTCGATATCTGTATATTGTTTTTGTGGCCCATCATTGCATGATCCCACACGTCTACACCATAACTACCACTGTAACTGCCCCCTAACTTCGAATTTTCAAGTCCACTCTGCCAAATATTGACTCTTCCCTGTTGACCTTCCTTTTCACCATTGTGGGGCATGTCCCTCATCATTATGAGACAAAAATCGACAAAATATTGTCCACTAAACACAACCACAATCCTTGCAAACTGGGCCACTGAACCACAACACTTTGCCACTCATTGTTACTGCCCTGACTTTGAATCATCAGACTCTGCCAAATATTAATTTCCCCTGTAATTTAATCAAAATATATTCAATGTCGGTAAACTTGAAATTATGTTTGAAATAACCTTTTTCTGTATTATAATGACTTAAACACAATTGTTGTCCTACATTTTACGTAACGAAAATACACAACTTATTTATATCAAAAACAAAATATACATCTCAGGTTTGTAATCAAAAAAACCGAAACTAATTTTTTTTTTAAAAATATTTCACTCATATTTTCAGCTAAATTATTATTGGATATTAGATTAAAAATTCCTCTTTACACCTATTTTTCCCACATCCTCCCAACAGCTGCTCCATTCAACTAACATTGAACCTTGCATGCCACCTGACTTACACGCTGGAGTAGTTACTGGCAGTGCTCATGGATTTAGTGGCCAGCCTCCAAGAGGAAACATGAACGAATTGGGAGTCTGTAACTGTCGAGGAAAGGCTAAAAGGACTTGGGCACAGGTGGCAACTTCAATTATATGCACTTCGACAGGTACAAGTGAAGGTTTTATGTGGTTTGAAGACACGGAAATGACCATGCAGTTATAGAAGTTGCATAAAAGTAGTTGCAGAATCGGCAGATCATGGAGTCGTGGGAAATAATAGCTATAAAGGGCAGAATGTTTGCAGAGAGAGAGAACATGAACAACAACACAACTTACTTTCTACATTGCAACTTCTGAGTAGTTTTTTCCCTTCTACTTTCTACTTTGTTACAAACAACACAACAACACAACAACTTACTTTGTACTTTCTACTTTGTTACCATCAGTTCATCGAAAGAAGTCTTCATCCTTTTCAGGCATTCGAACCAATACAACAATTGGTTGATTTTCTTCTTCAACTTGTCAACTTTAAATTACTGCTCCGTTGCTGTCAATATAGGCCCACCATAATTTTACTAACAATAAACCCATACTTTCATAGTTAACATGAAATAATTTCACAACTCCTGTTCGTAACTCGTAATTCATATAGCAATCGGCATGGAGATAAAGTAACGAGTTCGTTGGGTTACTTTCTCCAAGTAACACTCAAAATTAACTGCCACTTGGATTATATACAAAATGCATGTGCTGGTATGTAATTTTGCAAACCCACATGGACAAAATTCGTATTTTACTTGAAATATAATACTAATTTACCGAAACAAGTCATACCAAATCAATACGAAGCCAAACACATCGTTAGTTGATAAACCACACCGCAAAAAACCCTTTAGTTAGATCCAACCAAATATGGAACACAAACAAGCAACCCACAATAGGAATCTTGGAATACAGACGTAAGCCAATTTCCCACCCAAAACAATACAGACAACCCATATATATCTCACCTTCAATTAGTTTTCAAAATAACAAGTCACTGCAAACACAAATGATAGCATCACTCTAAACAATATAGAAAATTTACAACTCGTGGCCTTGTACATAGGTAACGTTGTGCCATTTCCTGGCATTGTACATAACCAATGATTTACACGTTACGTACAGCAATCCGTGCAAAATGAAAACTACATACATTATTTCCATGTGTTTTTAATAGCTAGTACTGTCTACCTAATAAATTAAGGGAATAAGTAAATCATACAAATTATACAATTACCTGATTCACCTCATCAATTGTGGTCGAATCATTTTTGCACACTGCTGCTTCAACACTACCGTATTGGCCCGCAGGCTGCTTGGAATCAGGAGAAGCATCGAAAAATAGTCGCCGCTGCTTAATGTGCGGTGTACTTGGATCCACCTTTGCAGTGAACGGGCAATGACTCCGCATTGTACTCACAGTCAGTTATGTGGGGTGTATCTACATCTATGTTAGTACCCACTGTTCGGCTAAACCGAACCTTAGGACACGTTCGCTTTGTGTGCCCAATGCATTTGCAATTCCCACATTTTCTTAGTCTTCGACAGTTGGACGAGGCTCGTCCCGGGTTCCCTTTTGTCTTCACAGCATCAGGATCTTTTACTCCAAATTGTCGAGGGAATGAATGTTTCCCTTTGTCTCCATTCCCATCGTTCAGATTCCTCTCATATAACTCCTTCATCCGACTCGTCAACGGAAGACATGCATCCCTAGCCTCTTTGAAACCTTCTGTTGATTGCGAGGCATAGAAACACATTTCGTTGTAGGAAGAACTCAATATCCCATACCGAGCCGTCTGTGTTGTAGTGCTATCAATTGAGGGTTGAGGCCATTACTGGTCATCCTTGCTTGCAGCCCTTGTCCATCTAGGCAGCACACAAGTTGGGGGAATTTGCGTTAAATTTCCAGCTTTCATAACACATATCATGTGACAGCAAGGTAGCCCCAACGACTCAAACTTCATGCAAGAACATCTCATTGCAGCATCCACTGGACCGTGTGTTACTATCCATGATCTGTCCTCACTTTGTACTTATGAATATAGTAGTATTTCTGACCATCTGGCAAAGGGAACACGTCCTTGACATTTAACTTCCCCTCTTCTAAGATTTCATCACGGAACATTCTAAATATATTTCAGGTGAATAGCTCAGCTCCATGTCTCTCTATATCTCGCAATAGAGTAATCAATACCGGAAAAGTGTTATTTGTTTCAGCATCATCTCCAGCCTCGTTATACCTTATCCTTGCAAGAGCCCGATCATAGTGCCTAACAAATTCATATAGCTTCAATTTGTGTTGGAGGAAGGGATTGAAATAAGCATTCATACACTCCGAGTGCTGAGTGCTCTTCGTCCCAGCAAAGAAATGTCCACGCATATATGCCTCAGCCCACATATGAAGCTTCTCATATGTCTCCAACACCCAACTGTTGGTTTGAAGTCCAAATTTTTCGACCATTGTCGTCCAGCCATGCTCAAACTTTGTCTCATCCATTTCCATGTCCATACACTGCTTGAAAGCATGTGCAAAGCCACTTATGTGAACATTTGAAACAGTATTTTTCCCAAGACGCCAATTACATAATTGATGTCTTGCGTCTGGAAATACTCTTCTGATTGCCTCTCGCATCGCCTTATTCCCATCTGTCAGTACGGACACAGATGCTTTATTGCCCATCGCCTCCATAAATGTTTCCAAAACCCATGTGTATGTCTCAATTGTCTCATTAGCTAGCAAAACACATGCAAATATCGTGGTCCTAAAGTGGCTAGTCACACCAGCCAACATGACAAAAGGCTTCTTGTATGCATTGGTTCTGTAAGTTGAGTCAAATATCAACACATTACCAAACTTTGCGTAGTCGCCCTGCGATTTTGAATCTGCCCAGAACAGATTTTGTAACTTGTTATCGTTACACACATCATACTTGTAAAAAAAACGTGCATCAACATCAAGTTTTGCACATAGGTAAACCAACGCACCCTGCGCATCACCATCCTCAACTTCTGCTCTACGTTCGGCTTAAATATGGTTGTGCAGATCCGTACGGACGAAACTAACATTCTCATAAGACCCGGATTGATTTACCATGTAGTCTATGATTTGGCTAGTCTTCACACCAACATTGCGCATAGCCATTGCTTGAGATTTGTCAGCGCTGTTTAACCTGCAATGTGACCTCAGATACATCACACAGAGTGGTTCTGCCAATTCATGGTTGTGGTCTGCGATGAAGTGAGTCACAACATACTTTCCCCCTTCACTAGCATCTGCATCGTACCGTATGCGAAATTGGGCTTTGCAACCTACTCTTATTAGTGCCTTGGGAGCTCTACTCTTCTCAACAACACGGTCCAAGTATATTGGTAATCTCTGACCTTCCCTTGAACACAACCACAGTCTACTAACAACCTTTCCCTCTTTATTTGTGTTAAATCTGGATTTTTGTATACTAAATCCCTTGGCTTTAGCATACGCATTGTAGAAAGCTTCTCCATCTTCGACCGAATCAAATTTTTGTTCTAGAATAGCACGTTCAATATCACCAACCATGTCATTGCCATGAGCATCGTCAACCATTTCTTTTTTCACATCGGCTCCGCTATCTTCAACATTCATGTTGGTTGCTTCTTCATTGCTCGAACCAGCTTCGCAACCATGATAAGGTTCCACCCAACTTTCATTCATCAAACAAACGTCATCTGCTTCATTTGGAATGTCATAATCATCACCTTCCCTTTTAACTTCCGCTCAGGCCATACTGCACATGACATTAGTACAAACAATTACTTGATAACCGAAAAATGTTAACACAAACACAAACATGACATTTTCACACGGTTTAGTTGTTTGTGCAAACACAAACACTCGCTTGAGAAAGCGAAAGGTTAGTTGTCAATGGAGGGGTTTCCGTTTGAGCGAAGCGTAGAGCGGTTAAAGTTAGGATGGGGGTTTAGTTGACGGAAAATAGCTGAAGTGAAGAGGCCAGAGAGACAGAGAGGGAGACAGCTCCATACCTCATATCTAGTTGGAGAGAAGGGCTTCACTTCAGCAATGGAACCAACACAGGCTTGTAGTGACGTTGTTGTTGGAAATCGCCCGTTATACTGTTCCCTATAGAGTTTCGTCAATGGAACGAACCCGGCAGGGGCTTCTCACTGTTAATGGAAATCAACAGTTACACTGACCCAACCTTACACAGAGAGGAGAACAGAGAGAGATAGGGATGAAATATAGAGAGTGAGTGGGATGCAATCATGCAAATACAAGCATTAACCGGTTGCCCCGGTTTCAACTTTTTCACAATTAAACAATTCAATGGTCTTGATCAATTATTGTAATCTAACGGCTAACAATTAGGTTGCATATGGTGTGCAACCTTAAAAGGGTTGCACACTTAAACATGACCCTTGTTTGTAACTTGATTTTATATTGATAGGTAAGATGGATTATAGAGAAAATGATAAAGTGTGAAATTATATCATTAAAATAATTAAATTTGAGATAAAAAATTTGTGTAAAATTTGAAAAAATTCGAGCTGTTATCATTCATTTTAACATTTAGGGGATCACGTCAGCAACAAAGATGGAGGGAAATGATCCTAATGATTGAATACATTTTGCCTAGCGTTGAAGGCTAGCTACATGTAGCTAGTGAATATGAGTTGAGCCAAAATGCCTAATCATATGCCTAGTGCATTGGAATTGAAAAAAGTGAATTACACTAGGCATTTTAACTAACAAGTATTATATGCCTAGTGCATTAGAGATACTCTAAGGTTTTGGACAAAAGAAATTCAAAATTGGACTAATAGGGAGCGCCGTATATGGCTACGCCCACGTGATTATGCTCCTTTGACCAAATTAGCCTCATGATTGCACATATCCATCAAATCCCCAAATCTGCCACTTCATACATTTGTTAAACTAACAAGCTTTGAGTCACCAACTACCCACGTGACAATCTCTCATTGGTTTGTCATTTTAGTACAAACACTAGTATAATATTCATAATTTTTATAATTTTAAGTGTGCGATCGCGCTTATATCCATCCTTGACCACCATATCAAAAGGAGTCTCCTTGTACAATCATCATCTTTTGTGACTGAAACAGAGCAACAACAGTAATTTAAATAGTTGAAACCTCAGAAAGAAATTGGTTAACACAACATGAACAGAAAGAAAGAAGGTCGGTTCAAACAAACACCATTGGATTTTTAGTGTTTCTTCTGCTACTTGCTTACTCTAGTGTATGTGTTTCTGTTTCAAAAAAACACAGAAAACTTATTTAGAAATTGTTTCCAAATACTATTTTTTTGAAATATTTTGTGAAACAACCCACTTTTTAGCTAACATTATAAAGTTATTTTTAAATTTTCGAGATCAACTTCTGTACAACAATCAAAAAAAAATTGGGTTTTTGAACTTTTCTTAATTTGTTTAAAATAAAAATAAAAATAAAAAGAAAAAGAAAAAGAAAAAGGTACCCTAAATTATGTATGTCTTATTGTCACAAATAGTTTGGAATCATGCACTGTGAATCTAAATTCCAGTTCCAAGAAAATGGGGACAAAAGAAAAGGTTTTTAATTGTTACTTCTTTTTCCTAATTTTTTCTGTTTCAAAGAAAGCCAATAATCTTATAGATTGATTAGAAATGCTTCCCACCAGTTAACCAGTGACAGCAAATGTATATGCAGATCAAGGTTGTTAAAATCGGGATCCTACATTAGATTGTTAGAGGTGTTTATAGGATCGGATCGAAAATTGTAAGATCCTATTGAAAAAGGCAAATTATGTAATAATTTAATTTAAATAAACATTTCTTAAAAGATATACACAAAATAAGCCTATATCTATACTATCAAAGAAAGCCAATAATCTTATAGATTGATTAGAAATGCTTCCCACCAGTTAACCAGTGACAGCAAATGTATATGCAGATTAAGGTTGTTAAAATCGGGATCCTATATTGGATCGTTAGAGGTGTTAATAGGATCGGATCGTAGAATCGGATCGAGGATCGTAAGATCCTATTGAAAAAGGCAAATTAGGTAATAATTTAATTTAAATAAACATTTCTTAAAAGATATACACAAAATAAACCTATATTCTACTAAAAAGAAATGAAGATACTGTGAAACATATAATACTCCATGTAAAATGTAAATATAATATTACATAATAGAAAACTCGATACTAAAAGTTTTGCATTTCATTAAAAAAGAAGGCGAAGAAGAAGAATTTTATAACATAATACTTACAATATGCATAAAAAGTGAAGAAACAATATTTAACAGAGTCGGATATGAAAATAAATTGAGAAGTTAAAAGAGCGGCTTAACTGAATGATAAGGTTTGTCATTAGAATCCCTTGTGGAGCGAGTTCAAATCACGAAAATTGTCTCTCCAAAAATTAGGGTAAAGTTGCAATCAATTTACCCTCTTTAGACCCCACTAAAGCTAAGTTTGTTTTCTTGACTACTTAGTTTTCTTAAATTGATATTATATTTTTTTGGGTGAATAAAATTGGTATTACATTAAATGTTTGTTTTCTAATTTGTTTATTAAATTCAAACTATTTTTTTTTAATATTAATTTGGAGTACATAAATTGATATTTAGATAACAAATATAAAATTTACAATAAAATAGATTATACAATACAAAATAAGGCTTACAAATTGGATCGGATAGGATCGGGTTCGGATCGGGATTCTACGATCCTATAAGATCTCATTACCAGGATCGAAAGATCCTACCTATAAGGAATTTTTTACACGATCCAGATCGATTATGCCCAAATGAATCATAAAGTCGTTGGATCGTAAGATCCGAATCAAAATTCTGATAACCATGATGCAGATGTCATTTCACTCACAAAGTTGCTTTTGTTTCACTATGTAAATTACTTCTTAGACATATATGCTCATGTTCCTTTGCCTAAAAACAATTACTAAGTTGGTTGAGTATACTGTATCCAATTGTGCTATTTTTTATCAATAAAGTTTTTTTTTTTTTTTGACAAAAAAAAAAAAATTGTTGGTTTGTTTGTGATTTTCAGTGACCATCTCCCACCAAATTATAATCTAATATATGAATCTATTTGGTACAACTTATTAAAGTTAAAAATTAATAATTGAAAAATAAAAATCAGAAGTCTTTTCCCTAAATTTTATATAATTAATTTTTTTTAACTTATTTAAATTATTTCTACATGATAAAGTATAAATAAAAATTATACTAAACAGTCTGACACAAATTCTAAAAATAAATTTTTTAAAAATTTATAAACAGTACATAAAAGTTAGACCAAACAAACCCTAAATCCACCAATGGTTCAACTTTCTTTCTTTTTTTTTTCCCTTTTTTTTTTTTTTGAGAAATACTAGAAAACCCTCAATTTATCTCCAAATTTCACTGCAATTGGCATGACCAAGAAACTGTTTTCTTTGTTTGGTCTAGTTTTTAGATAAACAATTTTTTAAAAAATCTACTTTTTTTATTTTTTATAATTTTAATGTTTCAATGAATTTTTTTAAAATATTTTAAGAAATTTCGTTAAATTTTAGAGAACACCCTAACATAAATACCATTAAAATATAATATTTATGGAAAAAATCTTTAAAAAATACTAAAATCGCAAAAAAAATCAATCAAAAAAATTATGAAAATTCAGTACTTTTTTCGTTTTTTGTGTATTTGATTAATTTTTTAAAATATTTTTTTACAAATATTTACACTATTTAGATACATTAAGTAAGGTACATCAAAAAATAAAAAAATTCTTAAAATTTAAAAAATATTACTAAAAAAACAAAAGATACAAAAAAAAAAAAAAACTTAATTCTTTAAAAAAAACGAATTCAGAAAATCGAAACCAAACAACCTTTATTCAAAAATTATCAAAAAATTATCGGAGAATCAAAAATTATTTGAGAAATTATAGGAGGGGGAGGTAAAGCAAGGTTTAAATTTTATAACAAAATAAATTTTGAGCTTTTAATCTTATTAATTTAATTCTTAATTTTTTGATTAATCAAAAGAATTATTTAGTTTTTTTCGTACACTATATAATGATTAAAATACATTTTTTCGTTAGTTTTATTACTTAACAAAAATAGGAAATGATTTATCTTGAAAACAAATCAAAATATTAAGATTTAAATTGATAAAATTTAAAACTCAATTTATTATAAGAGAAATTACAAAAAAAAAAAATCCAAAATTTGACCCTTTTAACAAAATAGACCATGAGTTTCGAATTTTTTTCAATTTAAACCCTAATACTTTGATTTATTTTCAATGTAACCCATTCGCCTATTTTCATTAAGTAAAAATGGCTAAAAAAGAATATTTTAATCATTAAACTTAATATATGTGTATATAAAATATCTACAATACCCTTTTTTGTTAAATTTAATGACTAAAATATCATTTTTCTTTAGGTGCTCAGGAGAACGGTCCAATTTAGTATTTTATTTGTGTAAAAGTTGAGGCACTAATTTATCATGTCCACAAGGACAAGACTGTGTGAAATGACTAAAATATCCATATATACATACTGTTTCCAAAGCAAACTGAAACCTAACCTCTTTTTTCTCTCTATTTTTGTCTCTCTTCTATTCTCTATCTCTCTCTCGCGCGCGCTCCTCTCATGGCAGCAAGAGCTATGTCGCTTCGTTGAAAGTAATGGCTTTACATATATATAGTAAGCAAATTGTTAAGAGAGAAGTGAAGGGGGATTGATATTGTAAGAAGTTGAGGCTATCCAATTAGAGGTTGCTACGTACAACGGAGTTGCTTTCAATCTCTTGTAGAAAATTTTTACCATCTATCTGTTGAAAATTTATTGATCAAAATGACATTTGTTAGTCAAAAGGACATTACCACCTATTTGGTGAAATTTTTATTTTAACTTATCTATTCAAATATCTTTTTTTATCTATTCAATTTTTTGAACATATCTATCTGCTGAAATTCACCAAGCCTTTTTTTTTTTTTTTTTATCTATTGAAATTCACAAAGCCTATTTTTTCTATCTGTTGAAATTCAAGAAGCTTATATTTTCTATCTGTTCAATTCTTTATTCTGGAGCATTTTGGCAACAAGTTTAAAAAAGCCAACTTTTTGCCTTTTTAGCTTTTTTAGCCAAAAAAGCTAGCTTTTTTACCCAAAAGAACCCAGTTTTTTGCCAAAAAAGCCACCAAAAAAGTCAAAAAGCAAAAAAGTTAACTTTTTACCAACTTCCTAAAACACCCTTCTATCTATTCAAATTCTCATACATATACACAGATATATATATAGAGAGAGAGAGAGGTTTTATCTGTCAAAATCTTTTTTTATCTATATAAATTAATTTCACAAATCCATTCTCTCTCTCTCTTTCTCTCTCTCTCTCTCTCTCTCTCTCTCTCTCTCTCTCTCATTGACTAGGTCTTCAAAACTTGCTTGTTTGAGAGATCACCATCACATATAAACCACCAATCTCGTCATTTATATCTATCTACATATACACAAACCACCATCAGCGAAGCTTTCCTCTCATTCCACTCTTAGGTATAAGAGAAAATTATTTTGCTTAGATTAATTGTCGAGCTAATGTTCGATAAAATGTCTCTTACAAAATTTATCACCTCATCTTCCCTAATTCCCCAGAACGTTTTGACGTGCTTTGAGCTCAGATGCTCCGTTGGGTTATCATAGACCCATACATCGTCGAAAACCTAAACAAAACCTCGTCTGCCGCAGCTAACTCTGTCGTCGACGAATTCGAGAGAACTAGTAAGGGATTCGATGAAGACCTAACCTTCATACTAAATAGGAGGACAGAGACTCGAGCAACGAGGTCAAGCTAAAACCTGGAGAGATCGTGATGTAAGGGGACCTGGAGATCAGGATTTTGGCCTAAGAAAAGAGCTTGTACTTGGCAGAGCTCGATCTGACACTAAAGAAGAAGCTAGAGTCAGAACTAGCATCTTGAAGGTGGCCAAAGTTATATAATCAGATGTCGGAAAGTGTGAAACTATGGTCTTCAGGGAGAGAGGTGAGAGAGTGAGATTGAGATTGAGGGTGAAGAGAGTCGTGCATTAGAGGATAGTGGAGAGAGAATATTTGATGATGTGGAGATCGATTGTGAAGATGTTGTAATGGTGGTGGTGGTGGTAATGGACAATGTCGAGATCATCGGGGCGGTGGGTGACACTGAAGGGATTGGCGGCGGATTTATAGATTTAAGCATAAAGAAGATGGAAATGAGAGAGAAGATTAAGAGAGAGGAGATTGTAATAGTTGGAGAGGAATGAGAGAGAATGAATCAATTTCAACAAATAAAGAATTACGTATAGGACTGTCTTTATAAACTTAACAATGTCCTTATGGACTAAATAATTTAGCATATGGGGTTCTGAACAAAAGCAATTCAAAATTAAACTTATAGACTGAGCGCCCTATAGATATATCCACGCGATTATGCTACCTTATTTTTAGATATTAATTAAATTGGCCTCATGATTACACTCATCCATCAAATCTCCAAATCTAAACCAACAAGTTTTGAGTCACCAACTAGCCCGTGACAATCTCTTATTGGTTTGTCATTTTGGTACAAACACTAATACAATAAAATATTCATAATTTTTTCTACTTTTTAAAAAATTTATAAACTGATTTTTGTTTATTTTTTGAAAAACATAAACTACAAACGCGTTTGGTTTAGACAAAATGTTTCAAAAAATTTAAAAATTTAAAAAAGAATGAGAAATGGCAAGTGGTGGCGGGTGGTGAGTGGAGACGAGTGGTGGCGGCGGAAGACGGTGGTGGAAAAATGATGGCGAGTGGTAGTGGTGGGTGGGTGAGTGGGTGGTGGCGGTAGTGGTGGCGGGTGGTGGGTAGTGGTGGCAGGTGGCAGGTGGTGGTGGGTGGTGGCGGGTAGGTG